ATGAGCTTATATCTTAAAAAATGTCAATAGTTCTCAAAATACGAGGTAATTACTCAACTACTGACATTTTTAAAGATATAAGCTCACCCCGACATTACACTCATCGAGACCTTTCATTTGAGTACCCACATCAATTTTTCATATATTTTATATATTTTTATATATTACATATATGTATATATGAAAAATATATCAAAAATCCATGTGGGTACTCAAATGAAAGCTCTTGATGTGTACAACATCGGGATGAGCTTATATCTTTAAAAATGTCAATATTTAAGAAAGTACAGTGCAATTTAATAGAAATAATTATTTAATCAAGCAAAATTTCATTTATTTAGGTATAGTGACTGCAAAGTTGCTATTTTTTTTTTTAATTTCTAAATGTCAATTTCTTTACCATAATTTGTTACAAAAATTTTTAAAATGATTAAATATCTGCTAAATTAATTTTTATAAAAATATAGTCAGCAGACATCTAAAAATTTCTAAAAAAAAAATTCCACTTTAAAAATATTTGAGAAATTTGAATTGCAATTTTTTTATTTTTTATTTAATTTAATAAAAAAAAATTTTTAAACGTCAGCTGATTTTACATTATACTAATTTTCTTAAAACAACTGTCACTTCTATTTAAGAAGTCAAATCACCTTTTTTTAAATTATTTCTTCTTTAATTTAATTATTAATTATTTCTTTTTTGTAAAAATTTTTAATTACACTTCAATGTTTCAATGTTTACATTGGTTTACATGTCCATCTATTAATTTTATGTATATATATGACAAATAATAAAAACATAATATAAGCATGTAACGCCATCTTTGTATTTCTAATGATTAATTATCAGCTGGAAACTTTTAGCGGGAAATTTGAATTTAAAAAATTATAAAAAAATTGAAGAAAAATAAAAATTAATTACTTATTAAAAAAATTAAAATAACGAAAAGAAGAATTAAAATGAAGAATATTAAAAAATAAAGTTTGATTTTAAACGAGTAAATTATAATAATAACAATCATTAAATTATCAGCTGGTAAATTATCAGCTGTTAATTTTTGGCGGTAAATTTGAATTTAAAAAATTAAAATGAAATAAAAGAAAAATAAAAATTGATTATTGAAAAAAATTAAAAAAAAAGAAGAAATAAAATGAAGAATATTAAAAAATAAAATAATATTTTAAATTAAAAATGAAGTATTATTTTAAATGAGTAAATTATAATAATAATAAACAGTAGGAGAAATCTCAATCTATAAATAAATATAACTTACGTCTTTAGTCTAGAGCATACGTATGTCTGATCTGTATTTAACCGTCCATAAAAATAAGTAATTTTTGTTTTTTTTATATAAAATAGTAGTTTAAAAAAATAATAAAAATAATGATAATGACAACGGAGTACCCACCGATAATAACGCTCGAGGTAAAAAATATAAATGAGTCACTTGTTTGAAATGTCTGAATCATCAATCGATTTGGCAGGTTTAATTTTTAAGTCACAAGCCCGTAAGAGATATTTTTTATTTACATGAGCTTCTATAGAAGTATTAATAAAATAATCGATTGTTTAAAGTAATAGCGATGCATATATGAACGATTATTGAAAGTAAAGGTCCAACTTTTTATTATTATTGGCATTTTTCCCTCAGTGCTATTTTAAGCGAGCTAATTTGTTACACTCTATTGATAATCTTACTTTCAAATAATCTATTTATTGTCATATTTACTAATTATATAATAAATTTTCATGATAGACTGGAGTTAGCTGACTGCTGACATTCTTTTTTATTTTCACAATAAATAAAATTGTTTAAAAAAATACCACTGAGTAGTTTTTTTTAATTTTATTTTGTGGAATTTTATTTAAATTTTTTCTTAATAGTTTAAATGCTAAAAATTTTTTTAAAAATTTCCACTAGTAAATTTTTATTTAAATCTATATTATTAAAAGAATAAAAAAAATTTTGATAGTTAATTTATAATAATACGTATTTATGTTGCATTCGAATATTTTCTATTTCTAGATACATAATTAAGAAATGACCTTGTATCTTGAGAACTATTGACATTTTTAAAGATATAAGCTCATCCTGACTTTACACTCATTGAGACCTTTCATTTGAGTACCCATATCAATTTTTCATATATTTCATATATGTTATATATATATATATATGTATATATGAAAAATATATCAAAAATGCAAGTGGGTACTCAAATAAAAGCTCTTGAT